TTCTCACATGAACAAAAAAATCTCGAAGGTATTAATATATTAATATTAATTTATTTCAATTAGGTAAATATATAAATATATAAATATATATAAGGATAAATGATAATTAAATAAATTCGATTAAAAAAGTAGTTTTAGAATTAGAGTTTAATGAATAAAATAAATCTGCATAACTTAAAATTAGAGTTTATTGATATTGAGGTTTAAATTAATATTCTATTTTTGTTAATAATTATAACGAACATGTAAATTTGTATATAAACTAATTTTTTAGATAAAATTAAAATATATAAATAATTAAGGGGGTGAAGCATTTCAAAATATATTATAAAAACTAATAGAAAATGCATTAAATATTTATGTCTGCTAATGATGCTGCTGTGTTTTTAAACAGAGGTAAATCAACTAGACATACAATTAGGAAGTTTATTTTATCAAAAAGGAGAAAATGAATAAGCACTCCAAGACTACAACATGGCCATCCAATTAAATCCAAATTATGCTGCTGCGTATATGAACAGAGGTAAATCATCTAGTCATATAATAAGGAGTTTTATTTGGTCAAAAAGGAGAAAATGAAAAAGCTCTCCAAGACTACAATATTGCCATCCAATTAAATCCAAATTATGCTACTTCGTATTACAACAGAGGTAAATCATCTAATAATAGAATTAGGAAATGTATTTTGTTAAAAAGGAGAAAATGGAAAGGCACTTAAAGACTACAACATGGCCATACAATTAAATCCAAATTAAGCTACTGCGTATATGAAAAGAGGTAAATCATATAGTCATATAATAAGGAAATATATTTTTTTTAAAAGGAGAAAATGAAAAAGCACTCTAAGACTACTAAAAGGCTCTCCTATTAAAACCAGATCATCCACTTTATGTTACAAACTTAGGAAGTCTCTACTTTAAAGAAAAATAATTTTCTTTAGCCAATATTTATTTTACAAAAGCACAAGAATCATTAGATTTGATTAATACAAATAGATATAGAAATGGAATTTATCTAATTCAAATATTACATATATTAATAAAGCACTTAATCTATATAGAGAAATTAAAAATTAGATATAAACAACAGATATTAAAATTAATTATTTATCTAAATAAATATAAAAATAGAAGTTTATTTTATTACAGGAATAAGCCTAGTAAATGAAATTACATAACAAATAAAGCCATTAGATACTTAATTAAATTCAAATCTATTAAAAAATTGGTTTTAGATTTTGGAATAATACGAGCAAAAGTTTAATGATTTTCAAAACCAAATAGCTACGCTTACACTAAATGTCAATTCACTTTTAGAATCAGATAATCATAAGGTTTCTGAATCTTTAAAACAATTAAATAAAAAAGAAAATAAGAATTAATTGATGTATTATAATGCTTTAGCTTGGAGATTGTATATTTATTTAACTTCAATGTAATAGATTACCACTAATCTATTTTAAGTTAATAAAAATGCAATAATCGAAAGTAAGTCTGAATAAACTTTAAATGTTTATAAAAGATGTTAAATATAGGATCCTAGATTTTTGGAGGATTACCAATTGTTGGGAACGCTTTTAACATAATTAATGCTGCTCTCGATTTTGGATTTGAACATCATAAAGAGCATAAATTTACTACAAGATTAAGAAAACTAAATAATATTTTAAAATGTAGTTCTATAGTTCCAGGCCAATTATAAATAGAGATATAAATTGCAAGCTTAGAATTAAGTAGAAATTAATAAGCTAATTTGATTAATAAACCAAAATCAAGATTTAGGAAGTTTGTAGATTAATTGTTGCAAGATGAAGATAAATAATTCAGAGATAATATATATTGGGCAGCAGGTACTGAAGATGCATTATATAGTCAAATCTGTGATAAATACTACATTTAAAAAGATAAAATTCAATATCGTATAATGATAAAAATAATAAAATGCCAGGTAATTTAAATTAACACAATGAACAATGAATTGTCATCGAAGCTTAAGTTTAGCCACACTTAAAACAAAACCCATATTAATAAAATAAATAATTTCAATTTATTTAAAAAATTGTATTATTTATAAATTAATATTCTAGAAAATACAAAAAACACTTTAGAAGTTTTCTAATTTTAGTATGAACAAACAATAATGCCTTTGAATAACTCAATTTATTTTATCTAGATCCTTCTTCAAAAAAATTGATAATCACTTCAATATGAGCTTATTCCTTTATATATTTTCTAAAGCAATTTGCCATTTTAGAGATTTTTATGAATTTAAATTAATTTATTTGAAGCCTTTTTTAATCAAGAAACTAAGCTTTTTGGCAAATAGATCAATTTTTAATATATTTTTTAAAGTGAATTTTAAATGCTCCAAAGTTATTTTTTGTTTAAGTCCTATTAATATTTGTACAGATATTATACCATTATAATAAATTTCTATATAACAGGAAATGTAAATTTAATTCTTTCTTAAACAAAATTCAATTAAATACCTTGGTTTTTATTTATATATATTATTATAATGAAGAGGAAAATAATTGCATCATGCTTCTTAAGAATTAATATAATTAAATAATATGATAGTCAATCATTTTTCTAGTTATTCTAATTGCAATCATGTTAAAAATGATGAATTGCTCGGATCCTTCAAAAATTATCCATACATTAGAAATAACTGAATTGCCAATATTATAAGATTGATATGAAAAGACCTCAAGATAAGTAATAATATAATCGCAATACAATTATTATTGGTTCATGGAATTTTAAAAACTATACGTTTAAATAAAATAGAACTTGAATTATAAGGAATTTATGAGATAATTAATTCTAATTAATTGAATTTCTTCGTTATTGAATTAAAAATGATTGGATATCCAATGAAGATAGCATTAAATATTTCATGGTATTTATCTTAAGAAATAGATAATGAACATTGTATATTTTGATTAACCAAGCATATAAATAAATATAGTTAAGAAAGAATAAAAGTATTGAAAAATCCATAATGCAAAGGGCTAAAATTAACAATTGGGGTTTTTTAAAAAGGAATTTAATGGAACAAATTTAGCACAATATTATTTTCAAACTCCATTTAATTAGGGTTAGTGAATACTTAATTAAAGGTCCATGCTCTTTACAATTCTCTCGATTTTTCGATAAAAAACCTTGTAAGATAAAATAAAATTCTAAGTACAAACAAATCCACTCAAATTTGACTGAAGTTTAAAATTTTATAATTTTCTTAAATTATTATTATATAATAAATCTATAGAATGATAAAGATAAACAGAATTTGAATATATAGAATTTA